GTCTCGAACCCGCGGGCTCAGGCAATCCACTCACCTCAGCCTCCCAAAGGCGCGGGATTACAGGCTGAGCCACCAAGCCCGGCTGATTATTACATTTCAAACAGGGTTTTTGTTGTTTTGAATTGGAGTCTCACTCTGTCGCCCAGGTTGGAGCTCAGTGACATGATCATGGCTCACCACAGCTTCCACCTCCTGGGCTCAGGCGATCTGATGTTTTGTAGAGATGAGGTCTGGCTATGTTGCCTAGACTGGTCTTGAATTCCTGGCTCAAGCAATCCTCTCACCTCAGCCTCCTTCCCAAATTGTTAGAATTACAGGCATGAGCCACCACGCCTGGCCTCAGGCAGGTTATTAAGCAGATTTTATGGCCGTGCCTGGAAGTCGGTACCCAGGTATACCATTGCTATGTGTTATCCCCTAGAAACACACCATCCTGAGAAATGGGCACTGGGAATGGTGCCTGTTAATAAGCAGAGGACAGCCCGACCCCATGTACTATGTGAGAGTGTGCTGTGGCTTCCCCACTTCCCTCCATCCTGAAGGACAGGGGTGGGGAGAGAGGGGGCACCGCCTGGTGATGTCTTTAAGGGCCCCACAGAATCTCCTGGAGCGTGCTGGAAAGGGCTGCAGTACTTGCCTGAATGGCACCAAGGTTTTCAATGAGTTGCTCTGGAGTGGAGGATCCCAGGAGTACAGAACTTACACCCTCGTTTCTCAGGCACCACGCTGGAAAGAGAGAACACTGGGTCAGGGCATCCAAGAGCTTCTGGTTATCGATTTGCTTATAAACACCAGCTACAATTGTTTCTTACAGCCAAATTTACTAACTCTTTGTGGAGGATGCACAGGGCTTTCTAGAACTAAAAACTTGGGTAGCACCCCCTGTCTAGAAGACTTGATAGAACCTGAGCATTTGAGCTTTGGGCTTGGTACCTTATGCCTGTACTTTCTACATAAAGCCTTGCCCAACAGCTAGGCCTTCGATCCAGCGACTCACCCTAGAAAAACCGTCTTGTTCCTGAAAAGCCTGACTCTGCTCACCGGGGTCCTGTTTCCACCCAGGGTCCTGATCTCCTGTCTTTCCATTTGATTCGTGATCTCACTTTTCCTCATCTGTTGCGTGGAGTCCTTGCCGACTTCAGGTGCCTGGTTCCTTGTTTCCACCTATCCATCAGCCCTCTCTGGTCTCCCTTTCTTCCTAACACGAGTCATCCTGTGGTGATTAACTAAATGACTCTTGCCAACCCTCTCTCCTTCCTCTGCTTCCCCAGCAAATTCCCATCGACCTGCACCTGTGTTTTCTGCTCCGCCCTGAGGGCAGCGGCGTGTGCTGGAGGGCCACGCAGTCCCGTGGGCTGGATCCTCCAGCCAGCCCGGCCAGCCGCATCCTTGCCCTTGGCCATCTCCCTCCTTTTTCTGAAATGACCCGACAGCCTGTATCCTCAAGCCCTCCATGCAACCCCTGCCCCCTCACTTTCAGCGGATGACCTCCTCTCCTAATTGATGAAAATTAAGTTTGTCTGGCGGAATATTCCCAAATGTCCTGCTCCAAGAATCCACATTCACATCCTCCAGTTTCCGAGGGGAGGGATGTGTGCTGTACCTGTCTGGGGCCAAACTCTATCAGGACCCAGCTCCCTTTTGCCTTTTCTTGAACTTGAGTCATACATTATTCCTCTCTCCGCACCCCCCCCCCCCACCCCTTTCTCTCTCTCTTAAAAAAGGCAACATCTCACAGCCTGGCAGGCGAACCAAGAAAATAAACAGATAATTTGAAAACAGTGTTGTAGTACCCAGAAGGGCACAGGGGCCTGGAAATGAAAGAGTGGGGGCGCCTAGCCCAGCTTGGGGTTCAGGGAAGAACTCTGGAAGTCAACACCTATGGGGAATCCAGATGATGAGGGGACAGGAGTGAGGAGAGAGAAGGGAGGGGCGAACGAAGGGAAGAGGTGAAAGGACAATCGGGCGAAGGGGCCGGCTGGAGCGAAGGGCTCCTGGAGGAAGGGGCGGGGACAGGGAGGAGGAAGAGGAGAACACAGCAGGATGCTTGGGGATGGGGAGGATTTCTAGACAGCTCAGTGTTCAGGAAGCACAAAGTGCAAGGCGGGGAGACAGGAAGCTAGAGAGGTGGGCAGGAAGGGAGGCTTGCCAGGTTGAGATGAGAGCCTCATCTCACAGATGGTGATGACGTCCGGTGCTAGCCAGGGAAGGGACACGGATATGTATTTAAAGGAACTGCTGCTGAGTGCAGGAAAGCTATAGGGGGGATGGGCAGGGACAACCCAAGCCACCAAGCCAGAGGCAGGAGAAACCAGTTGTGCAGGAGAGGGCTTGAATGAGGGTAGTAGTGACCCGGATAGAGAAGATGGTTGAACCAGAACAGTGTTTCTCAAAGTGTGGCCCTGTACCCACACAATGGAATACTATTTAACAAGGAAAAGAAATGATACATTGATACACACCACAGCATGAAAAATTCTAGAAAACAGTTACATGCTAATGGAAAGCCAGACGCAAAAGACCACCTGTTGTAGGATTTTACTTAGATGAAATGTCCAGAGAAGACAAATCTAGAGACAAAAAGTAGATGAGTGGTTGCCTGGGGCTGGAGGCAGGAGTCCCAGAGGAAACTTGTTTTAGAATGGGAGAGATTTTAGCATGTTTTGTTAACAGAAAGGAAGACAATAATAAATTAAAAACGTGAGAGAGATATCTTGTTCTGTTGACCAGGCTGGGGTGCACTGGTGTGATCATGGCCCTCTGAACTCCTGGGTTTAAGCGATTCTCCCACCTCAGCCTTCCAAGTAGCTGGGACTACAGATGTGAGCCACTGCACCCAGTTAATTAAAAAAAAATTTTTTTTCATAGAGGTGGGTATCGCTGTTGCCCAGGCTGGTCTTGAACTTCAAGTGATCCTCCTGCCTCAGCCTCCTTAGCAATTTGCTCTACAGGCGTGAGCCACTACACCTGACCTTGTGATATATATCTTATTTGCAGTTGAATACTCAGCCACCAGCCCAGTATCTGGCACATAGGCATGAATAATTGATCGATGTCCCCAAGCACCACTTCTGCACCCATTTGCTGATAAACCTCTTGTCAACTGATACTCTTAAGCTGTTACCATGCCTTGGCCTTTTATGGCGATTGCTAAATCTTTCCACATGGGCGAAACAGTGCTCCATCAAGGCGCCGGTCCAAGTAAGTGATCCAGGGTTCTTTCTCTCTCTCTTTCTTTTTGATTGCATTATTTCTATTTCCTGCTTTGTTTTTAGAATACTTTTTGGCCCCCTTTTGGGAGTTCTGAGAGCAGAGCAGGGTCTGGGCAAATTATCGTCCATAAACTATCTGACTGGTTCCTCAGCAGCCAAGTACTGGGTGGGCTGCGGGTGTAGAAGAACCCACTGGGCAGAGCTGGTCACTCTGTGCTGGGTAATTGGCATCTCTAGCCAAGTGTCAGGGCAGTCATGGCCAAAGGGCTTGTTTCCTGAGGACAAGGTGTGAGTGCTGGTGCTTGTGGCCTGTGACTTGGAGAGCAAGCACACAGTTGGGGTCATGTCATTGGTTTCCTGCCAGAGGAGCTCTCCTCCTCCACACCTTCCTGCAGATCAAAGGTGATAGGCTGGATCACTGCCCTTTTGCTTCTGAGAGTTCTGCTTGTTTATAAAGAAGGAAAGAAAATGAAGAAAGACCTCTGAGGGCATAGAGGGAGGAAAAGAGGGAAAAGCATGTTTTAATTTAAACTCAGACTCTGTAAAGAGGATGCCTATGTAACATCTAGTGAAAATCTAAAACTCGTGAAGATTTCCTCTCTAGAAAGACAATATTCTTCCGTCTCTTTCAGAGCTAAATGTAACACCTTCACGATACCACCTAAAAACTGTATTTATGACTGTTTAGAATATGTTTCTCTTTTGCATATTATTCTAACTATATGTAATGGGTAAGAGTAGATGAAGTTTTAAGTTTGGCATGTCTAATTCTTTGCAAAAACATCTTTATCATCATCATGACCACTTACTGAGCATGGACCTTTTGCTTTACATATATAATTTCCCTTTACTCAACAAGTTTGTAAGCTATGTATTTTATATCCATTTTACAGATGAAAAAGTTGTTATCAGGTTAAGTAACTTGCCAGTGGTCACATAGTTAATATGTTTTACTGTGCTTGTTAAAGCTCTAGGGATGCTAACTAAAACATGCCTTACATTATTTGATATTTTTAAATAAAGGATTAAAGCGATAATCATAATATACTTAGGTACATGGCCACCCCCCTTTCATTTCCATATCTTTCTATGACTGTTGATTGCAACTACCATTTCCCTGCCTTCCAACCTCAGAAGAGTCAAGCTACCAACAAATATTCTATTAAGTTATTTTATTTGCATAGACCTTATCTTGAACTTTTTATCTCATTGAGTTACTGTATCTGATCATGTCTCAATTCCTGCTATTTCTTTTCTTTCTTTCTTTTTTTTGAGTTGGCGTCTCACTCTGTCATACAGGCTGGAGTGCAGTGGCACACTCATGGCCACCACAGCCTCGAACTGCTGGGCTCAGGCGATCCTTCTGCCTTAGCCTTCCACGCAGCTGGAAGGCTGAATTTTTTTTATTTATTGTAGAGATAAGGTCTCACCAAGTTGCCCAGACTGGTCTCAAACCCATGGGCTCAGGCAATCCTCTCACCGCTGCCTCCCAAAGTGCTGGGATTATAGGCGTGAACCATTGTGCCTGGTAATTCCTGTTATTTCCTAATCCTTAGAAATGTTTTCTAGAATCAGCACCCATGTCTTTCCTTTCTCACAGCTGCCATCTGATTTATTTATCTCCTGTTTCTTCACTTATAAGTGGAGATAGAGCAAATCCTCTGTGAACATCTGTAAGGTAGGGCTAGTAACAATGTGCATCTCCTTGGACTGTTTTGATGATCAAGGAGATAAGACAGTGGGCAAGAAGTGCTTATCATAGAGCCTGGCAAATGTCCTTCAAGAAGGGAACTCAGACCAATGCTTCTCTGCCCAGTATGTCATCAGAGGCTACATGTGGGTACTGAGCATGCAAGGTGTGTCTAGCCAGAAGTGAAGTGTGCCTTCAGTGTAAAATCTATGCTGGATTTTGAAGACTTGTAGGGGAAAACAAAAAAGAGTATAAGATATCTCAATATTAATTTTGTATATTTATTCTATGTTGAAATGATAATATGTTGGCTATATTGAGCTCAATATAATCTATTAAAATTAACTTCACATGTTGCCTTTTTAATTCTTTAATGTGGCCACCAGAAAATTTAAAATTAAACACAGTCATATGTTGCTTAGTGTCAGGGACACATTGGAAAAAATGCATCATTAGATTATTTTATTGTTTTGTGAACATCAGAGAGTGTATTTATGCAAAACTTGGCAGGGTAGCCTGCTACACACCTGTACAGCATGCTATTCTACTGAATACTGTAGACAGCTGTAACACATGGTAGGTGCTTGTGTACCTAAACATAGAAAAGGCAAGCAAAAAAGTGGTAGAAAAGATAAAAATAGTCCACCTGTTTAGGACACTTACCATGAATGGAGCGTGCAGGACTGGAAGTTGTTCTGTGTGAGTCAGTGACCGAGTGGTGAGTGAGTGTGAAGGCCAAGGACATCACCATACCCGACTGTAAACTTTGCCAATGCTGTGCACTTAGGATACATGAAATTTACTTCAACATTTTTTTAATCTTTAATAATAAATGAATCTTGGCTAACTGTAACTTTTTTACTTTGTAGACTCAAATTTTTAACTATTTGACTCTTTTGTACTAACAGCTTAAAATACAAACACATTGTACATCTGTACAAAAATATTTTTTATATTCTTATTCTAGGAAACTTTTCCTAATTTTAAAAATTTTTCAGAAAACTTTTAAAACTTTTTTGTTAAAGACCAAGACACTAGCATGCACATGAGCCTAGACCTACACAGGGTTAGGATCATCAACAAAACTGTCTTCCACCTCCACATCTGATCCCACTGCAAGTTCTTCAGGGGCAATAACATGCTTGGAGCTGCCGGACGTGGTGGTTCATGCCTATAATCTCAGCACTTTGGGAGACAGAAGCAAGAAGATTGCCTGAGCCCAGGAGTTCAAGACCAGCCTGGGCAACTTGGAGAGACCTCGTCTCTGTAATAAATCAGAAAATTAGCCAGACGTGGTGGTGCACACCTGTATTTCCAACTACTTGGAAGGCTAAGGCAGAAGGATCGCCTGAGCCCAGCAGGTCAAGGCTGAGGTGGCCGTGAACGTGCCATTGCACTTCAGCCTAGACAATAGAGTGAGACTCCGACTCAAAAACAAATAAAACACCCATGGAGTCTGTTGTCTCCTGTGATAACAATGCCTGCCTTCTTCTGGAATACTTTCTGAAGGATCGGCCTAAGGCTGTGTTAAAGTTAATTTGTTTTTTATAAGTGTAAATAGAATACTCTAAAATAATGCTAAATAGTAGAGTGCAGTATGTTCATAAACCAGTAGCATAGTTGTTTATCATCATTATCAAGTATTATGTACTGTACATAATTGTATGTGCTAGACTTTTCTATGACTGGTAGTGCAGTAGACTTGTTGACACCAATGTCACCACAAATGCATGAGTAATTTGTTGCGCTAAGACCCTAGGACAGTGATGACATCACTAGGCGACAGGCATTTTCAGCTCCATTATAGTCTTACAGGACCCATGTAATCAACGTACTTACTGCAATGCAACCATCATTGACTGCAATGCCTATGACTGTGTGTGGTTCATATTATCTTTCTCTTGAGCACTGCTGGTGTGTGTGGTTTTCAACTATAACCAGCAATCGTGACATTTCATGGACTATGCAGTGTTAGAAGAGCAATGTTCATGGCCCTCAAGAAGTTCCAGGGTGTAGCTCTTTCTCCAGGATCTGTCTTCCATGTGATAGTAGCCTCGGGTCTCTGTCACAGTCCTGTGTCTCAGCCTCTTGCCGACACTGGCTTAGCTTCAACAGGGATAGGCACGTGTGCCCGAAGAAATGGATGTCACGACACAGTTCACCCCTGACACCTGTAAGGGTGTGTGCGTTATCATTGACATGTTCTGGTTTAAACTGTGTTATGAGGGAGAAGGGAAAGAAGTAAGGAAAGTCTTTCAGCCTGTAGAAAGTTCTGGGAAGCCCCAAATAAGTCACTTTATAGTGTTTACTGAATGCTTCTACTTCAGAGATCAGTCTGGCCCTTATATTTGCCATGATCTCAGCAGAAGTGTGTGCCCCCCGCCTTAGTCATTTTCTTACCAACAGCTAGCTGAGGTAGTGTGCAGCCCAGACGCTCAGCAATTGGGGTAAGGTCTTTGAGTTTGTTTTGCTGTTTTCTGCCTTCTTCGCTCACAATTCTTTCCTTCAGCCACTGGTAGCACTAGGGAAAATAATAACATCTAAATGTTAATGTCTGGTAAAGACTTGATGTCAAAGACTGCTGATTCAATAAAATGTAAGAACCACATGGTGAATTCCTGAATCTTCTTCTCTGACCCTTGTTTCTCAGTGATGAGGATGTCTATGTCTTCATGCAGAGTAATGTTCCCCATAGTCTCGATCCTTGTTACTGGTTCAAAACAGATTGAATTTGACTAATACTCACTATTCAAATGAATCAACATGCACAAAAGTTGCTTAAACCCTGACATCCCTGACATAAAAGTAATTGTATCCTAGTCTACCAAGTAGAGAAAATGATATTTCTTATTGGGATAGCCCAATTTTAGAATGTAGCCCCCCCACCCCAAAAAAAGCATTTACATTTTTCCAAGGTCTCTTCTGTCTTTTTGTTAAGAAAGCTGGGTGTCAAGGTTTCTGCTCAAAGAAAACCATTATCTTACATTCTTGTTATAACCGTCTTTCTCCCTCTTGCCTTTAATTCACTCCTGATCTCTTATTCTTTATAATAGGGTCTTGTGTCAGCTTCCTTAGCTCCTTCCTAGAAACAGGCAGGGGATAACAGATATGCACCGAGTACATTTTTACAGTTTTAAAGTGGGTAAAGACGTTCCCACGTGTTATTACCTATTGTATAACTATCGAAACTTAAAAAAGTAAGGAAACTCAAAACAGGAAACTATTTTTAAAAGCCTAGGAGAAGAGACCCTGATCTGTACACTAGGGAATGAACCTAATTTTATAAAAATAAAGAGAAAAATATTTTGGAATTTCTCAATGCCCTACTTTCCAGAAGTTTCTTAGTTTACTATGAAACAGAGAACAATAGCCTCTTGTGAAAAAGCCAGCACTGAATAGCAACACCCAAAGGAAAAGAATATGTGTAAGAATGCTAATCTGTTTTACGGAAAATAATGAAAGCCTGTAACACTGTGTGGCAACATGGGCTTTCTCCATTGCATGTATTTGTGACATCGCCATCACTGATCTTATATCTTCCCAGAGGCCACAGAGAGCTTTGTGACAGGCAGTTGGCCATCGAGACCCCACCCACATGATTCCAACAGGCTGTTGATTTTTGTTTACTGAGTATTTTTTCATCATTCTAAGACAATATTTCCAAAGAAAAGGGTAACCACAGTATGTTTCATTGTGATTTTTGGAATAATTTTGCCAATGAGAAAAGGAGAAGGGCAAGCTGCCCCAGTTCTGTTTGCCTCCCAGATCTCAAAGGCGTAGGGTCTGGCTCCTGACTTGGGAGTTTGCTAGGGAAAATGGCCAAGAGCTTTCCCAGTTTCAGCTTTGGGATGCCTGGCTTCTTCCAGAGAAAGAGTGGCCTGCAGCCTCTCCCCAGAGATGACAGCTGGTGCCAGTGGGGATGAGGTGGACACTTCTAAACAATGAACACTGTCTTTGGGACCCAGGCAGCCTTCCTGGAGAGTGCTAGCTATGTCAGAGAGTCCCTGAACTCAATTTTGATGTCCTCAGTGGGAAAAACATCACCAATCCTCACTTAAGTTTCATAACATCTTTCAGGAGACCAATATCTCTGACTGTTATTCAAACAAACAAAGATTGAAAACAAATAGCCAACTGCTTTTGGAACAATTTCTTCTCATTGTAACTAGGAGAGTTTCTGAGGTTTCAGGATATACTGTGCACACAAAGAGTGGTTGATTTGGACATGGTGCCTGTAATCCCAGCACTTTGGGAGGCTGAGGTGGGAAGACTGCTTGAGCCAGGAGTTCAAGACCAGCCTAGGCAACATAGGAAGACCTCATCTCTACAAAAATTTTTAAAAATAAGCTGGGTGTTGTGGTGCACACCTGTAGTCCTAGCTACTCAGGAGGCTGAGGCTGAAGGATCACCTGAGCCCAGGAGGTTGAGGCTGTTGTGAACTGTGATCTTGCCACTACACTCCAGCCTGGGTGACAGAGCGAGACCCTGACTTAAAGAAAAGATCAATTTATTTATCAATCTTATGGAACTCCTTCATTTTTGAAATCCTATATGCAGTGCATTATTTTTCTTAGGGTTGGCTTACAAAGTATATGTGTGCGCATGTACACATACATGTTATACCCTCCCATATTGAAAGACAGACTTCTAAAATTTAAAAATAAAGTTAAAAAATCGAGCATTCATTGTCCCTTTCTTCTCATGCCCAACACCATAAGTCTTATGGTTGTTTTAATCAGTGGAAAATATAAACAGGTTAGGGTTTTTAAAAGAGTAGATTCATAGTTTTTATACTGTTTTCCTCATACTGAAACAGACAAACATGTTTTAGAAATAAGCCGTTTTAACTTCTTTACAATTGGGAAAATGTTAGCAGAGAGAGGAGTTGAGGCTTAATTAAAATGTTAAAACATGGAAACAAGCTGGGTGCGGTGGCTCATGCCTGTAGTTCCAGCACTTTACAAGGCTGAGGCAGGAGCATCACTTGAGGCCAATTTGAGACAATCCTGGGTAACACAGCACCCTCCCATCTCAAAATCTCTCCCAACCCTGTTCTATCTCTTACCCCACCGCACTGCAGTGACTTGATTCCATGTTGGTCTTTCTAGAATGAACAGGTAGAAGGCAAGTGTGGTTCATGTCAGCATCTCCAGTCCTAACATAGCTGGCAGGAAGTAGGGACTCAGCCAATAGAGTAGCGAGGGAGGAGTCAGAGAAACCAGAATTCTGAAGGATCTAAAGCAGGTCACATGTAGCCCAGGGCGGCTGGCAATGCGGCCCCCCAAAATCTTAACATCATGTGTTTTTTAGCGTGTATTTTCTTCGTGACCCCATGCGTAGTTCCATTTTTGAAGTTCACAATCACGCCTTACTCATGACATCACTTTTTGGCAGTGCGTGCATTTGTGAACAACTGTTTTCAATTACGAAGCACATGAAGAACAAAATTCAAACAAACATTTCTGATGAGCAACTTGAAAACTCACTAAGAATCACGACCAGTTCCATTGGACCAGGCATTGATAGTTTTACAAAAATAAGGTCACATTTCCCACTAGTTTTATACCGTTCTCATTTTTCTAAACTTTATATTAAAAAGAAGTCTTATTATTATGTGTATACACTAATTATATTATATTATTTATGTGCCGCCCAAGACAATTCCTCTTTACTCGATGTGATCCAAGGAAGCCAAAAGGAAGCCCTAATCTAAAGAAATCTCTTCAGCTTTACAGACTGATCACGACCCCCACTCCTTTATGCTGTATGACTCTGCCAGCAGTCCTATGGGACGCCACAGTGCTGGTGGACTCCTGTTATTTCTAATTCACCCTTTCACATGTCTGTCTCTCTTTCAAGTCCCTGAGCTGTTCCTTGAGGGTCGGGACTGTCCCATTCACCCCTGTATCCTCAGCACCCAGCACATAGTCCAAGCGCACTCAACACATATTTGTCAAAGGGACAGTGGAATGAGCTTTCCTCCACAGAGAAGTGGGCTATTCGTTTTATATATGTTACAAAAGTCTCTGAATTTCATAAAGCCAAATTCTTTGCCCTCTCCCAATGCTGTGACCATTATTTATGTGTCCCTGTTTTATAGGTAATGATACTGGGGTAGGAATGGTTTGTGAGACTTGACCTAAGGCCCTTAATTGGCTGTTCATTAATCCTAGACTGGAACTCAGGCAGAAACCAAAGCCATAGACAGAATCAGTCCACATGGACCTTATATGGAATAAATTAGCATCCAAGATGGTTGACCATTACTATTTAAAAATCAAAGTCTTTCACTCAAAATAGTAACACAGTTTTCACTATTGAGGTAGAAATCTCTAGGTAAAATGCTAGAGCTAAAAAAAACTGCCTTTCCAGCTGGGCACCTGTAATCCCTGCCTCCACTAGTTTTCCTGTTCCTGGCCCTTTGCAGTGGAAGAAAATGATACTCACACACAGTGAGAAATAGAGATGGAGAATCCTGACAACGTCCAAGTCCACGGGTGAGTTACTGCTGGGGCCAGCCCCATTCCATCCTTCCTAAGGATTATGTGTGTGAACCAGTGGAGTCCCCCTTCTTTGTTGGTCTTCACTGAGTTCTGCCTCTTGGAACCAGAGAATTCCAAGACCGTAAGAAGTGTTTATGGAGTAATAGATGAGGTGTAAATAACTGTTTTGTCAGGACAGTCTTTACAGAGGTGGAGACAGTGAAGCTTTGTCTTTAGGAATGGGGAGAGGTTACACAGAAGGATAAGAAGGACATTTCTAGAAGGCAAAGGAAAGTACAGTGCATTTGGGTTGAAGATGAAGTAGTGTGACATGGGGAGAGACAGGACTGGAAGAATAGGCTCAACTCAGATCCCAGCGGATTTCCTTGAATGTTTTTTTGTGGAGTTTGGGTTTTGCTCTATAAGCAATGACAGGGAAGTCATGGAAGGATTCTAAGCAAGGTGATGAACGGTCAGGTGAATGTTTTAGAAATACAGGTGGTCACAGTGGCGGGTTGCTGAGGAAAGGTGAGGGAGTCAGAGAGTCTAGATGGAAAGTTAGTGTGGCAAACCCTGAAGAAAACCTGGAGATCTAACCATGGGCTGTGCAGGGCACAGACCTTAGAGTCAGGATGTGATCTGCAGGATTTGGTGCCTTACTGAACAGGAGTGAGGAAGGAGAGGAGGGAGTCTGAGATAATGTCTTGGCTTCCGACCATGATGACCAGATAAATGGGTGGAGGTCCTGTTAACCAAGAAAGCAGGGCGGGTTCTGGGCAAGGTGGATTCCATGGGATATGACTGATGCCCCTGAGACACCCACTTGGAAGGGCCTTACAGACACAAAACAGCAGTGGTGTGCAGCTTAGCAGTGAATTCAGAGTTGATGCCTTCATGTAGATATCACCACCGTTGGAGTGGTAAGGGTAAGAGGATCAGAAAATCCCCGGGTTATTATTATTTTCTAAAAGAGCCCTAGGTATGTATTTTTTATGCTGAGTTAATTTATCCTTCAATAGCAGTTCAAAATTACAAAAAACACAGAATATTAGCATCTTTTTTTTTGGAGAGGTGAGGTCTTGCTATGTTGCCTAGGTAGTTCTCAAACTCCGGGACTCAAGCAATCCTCCTGCCTCGGCCTCTCAAAGTGCTGGGATTATAGGCGTGAGCCACCACACCTGGCTGAGCATCTTAATATTATTAGAGCCAATCTGAAACACAAACCATTTACATATTCTATCTATTTTAGGAGGAAGCGAACATTGCTAACTTATTTATCTACTGCTTACCTGTCTACTTTTCTATCTTTATTTATTTTTGCTTTTACTAATAGTATCCCCTTCCTTCTTAACATTGCCCTGATATTTGCTTCTTTTATTTTTGCTCTGGTAACTCTATTCAAGTGGTTTTCCTAAGTGCACACGTATTACTCTGGAAACACTCAGTTGATCATTTAGAGCCTTGAGTGTCTGCAGAGCTCTGAAGACGCACACTTAGTGGCCAGTCCCCTTTCACCTGTGGAGAGCTCTTAATCTTTATTGTTAAGGATGTTCTAGGAGATGCTGAGTTGACTTTATACAAGTCAACAATAGAAATATTTCCCAAGCTGCTTTTGGGCTTAGCTGCCTCAAACCATTTCGTATCCCCCCCACCTTTTTTTTCCTTTCTCCTTTTGCTAGTGGATTTGTGAAAGGATTTTCAGCTGTCTGCGGGATTTTCTCAGTGATGGAGGTTAGGTAATCATACATTCCAAATGTAAGGTAGCTATTTCTTCTACCTTTAAAAACCTGGATTTGAAGGGACATCTTTGGGGAAGATAATTAATTGAGAGGCAGGGACCTGGACTCTCATATCAACCTTATCTAGTACCTTATTTAATATCTTGGTCAGTTTCTGCATCTGAAAAAGGTCTACCCCTCTTAGAAGGTTAGTGTGAGAACAAATACCTGGCACACATAATAGTGCTTTGAATTTCTCAGCAGGCCTCTGAAAGAATATATGGCAACATGCTTAGCTACAATGGATTAAAATTATTCTGTATCCATTTCTCCTTGTGAGGTTAAAAGGAGGTGAAGGAAAACACTTAGCTTGGTGCTTGGCACATAGTAGGTGCTCAGTAAAATGGCAATTCTCAATATTTCCCTGCCTTCATCTCTCTGTCTTCACTTCATGCCTTTCTTGCCTTCCTTTTTTTAATATATCTTCTTCCTTAAGATGCTTTTAGTTTTTCCTTGTTGACTTGTTTAGATTTGGTTCAAAATTATCCAATTTTCAGAAGCAAGATCATATTTTAAAATACTGGAATAATTTTTGTGGAATAATACAAAGTTAGAAATAGGACCATGCCAACATGTTTTAGGAGGTATTTATGTTTTATTATATTAGAGGACAAACAAGCTAAAAGCTCAGCTGTTACAGGCAGAAAGGAAAGTGAGAGATCTGGAGCCTTGAGAAGGTTCTGGTGTGGGAAGTCTATGATGGCCACAGCCACACCAATGAAAGGGTTGATGACTTGGATTTGACTTGAGCTGTTTTCCTGATCACTTAGTGCTGATGTGGGCAAGGTTGTTAGACTTATGCTTCCTCTTGGGAGAATTTTGTCTTGTCTGTGTATTTTGTTTTTTGAATCAGAGTCTCACTCTGTTGCCAGGCTGGAGTGCAGTGGCACAATTACAGCTCACTGAAACCTCAACCTCCAGGGCTCAGATGATTCTGCCTCAGACTCCCAAGTAGCTGGGACTACAGGTGCATGTCACCACATCTGGGTACTTTTTTGCTTTTTTTTTTTTTAGAGACAAGGTCTCTCTGTGTTGTCCAAGCTGGTCTTGACTTCTGGGCTCAAGTGATCCTTGCCCTCCCAGATTGCAGGAATTACAGGCATGAGCCACCAAGCCCAGCTTGTCTGCATTTTTTAAATGCCTGTATTCTTTCTCCCTTGACATTACAGAGTAATCTGCGATTCTAATGTTATTACACATTCTCTCAAGTTTTTTAAACAGGCATGTTGTTATTAATAAGGAGAGATGTTTGAAATACTCTCTAATAAATTAGTCATCGAGATGTCCTGAATGGAAGTAATTTCGTGTCAATGATCTTGAATCTTTATGCTTCAAAGCAGAATTTAAGCTTCAAGACTTAGCAACCCAAGTTGATCTCTACAATCGCCAGTCCTAGAGTCCCAGTGACAGAGGCATTGTTGTGTCTGTCTCCTGAGGTCCTCCCCACCTCCCCCTTGTCCCCAACACACACGAGTGCCAACCAATCTCAAATCATACTCAGCTACAACCATTGGCCTCATGTGGATTAAACTTAAACTTTGTTTTCTCAAGAAAAGAAAAATTAGGACCAGGCACCACATGGTGGTTCATGCCTATAATCCTAGCACATTAGGAGACCGAGGCAGGAGGATTACTTCAGCCCAGGACTGGCAACATGCTTAGCTACCGGCCTGGACAACATAACGAGACCACATCTCTACCAAAAAATCAGCCAGGTATGGTGGTACATGTCTGTAGTCCCAGCTACTTGGGAGGCTGAGGTGGGAGGATCACTTGAGCTCAGGAGGTTGAAGTTGCTTAAGTCCTGATTGTGCCACAGCACTCCAGGCTGGGCAACGCAGTGAGACCTCATCTATACAAAAAATGTATAAAAAAGAAAAAAAAAGGAAAGGAAAATTAGATCCTCTTATATAGAAAAGAGATTTTCTATTTTATCAGTTTCAAATGAGGGATGGAATGTTTTCTTTAATATAAGCATAAATAACAATGTGGGGGCTTGAGTCCTACAGATTCACCCAGGTTATTGGGCACTTTCCTCTCAGTCCTCAGGGAAGAGAAACTTCTGCGCAGGGAGATGATCAAGGGTTGACTGATGTGTGGCCAGAAACAGAGAACTCCAGAAGGCTCAGGGGAGCCTGCCAGAGGCCACCGACCTGGCTAAGGCATGGGCTGCCTGAATTAGGAAGTTCTTGGCTGCTGCAAGGCTATTCTAATCCATCTTCCTCCCTTCCTTCCACCCCAAACTTCCTTCTAGAGTTGAAGAAAATACCTTCAGCGAAGCTCTGGAACGTTCCGGCACCCCATTTCCATATTTTCCTGAGATGATTCCACAGGCAAGTGGAGACCATGTCATGGCGCCAACCCCTATGGAAGAAAACACTTAGAAAGTGGCTTGTGCAAATTGGGATCAAAAGTGTATGTTGGGAGTTGTTTAAACCAAACATGGTTAGTTATAGGGAAAAGCTAGCCAGGTAAGTGCAGTAATGCCAGAATACATTTTTTTCCATTACGATTTAGGGGCTTACAATTTTTTTTTTTCTGTTAGAGACTCATTTTGTCACCCAGGCTGGAGTGTAGTGGCATGATCACAGGCTCACCACACCCCTGATCTCCTGGGCTCAGGTGATCCTTCTGCCTTAGCTTCCTGAGTAGCTGAGACTACAGGTGTGTGTCACCACACCTGGCTCATTTTTGTCTGATTTTTGTAGAAACGAGGAATCGCTGTGTTGCCCGGACTGGTTTCAAACTCCTGGGCTCAAGCAATCATCTCGCCTTGGTCTCCCAGTATGCTGGGATTACAGGAGTGAGCCACTGCAGTTAGCCACAAATTGTGTTTAATTCCTTCATCAAGTGGTGAAACACGCACTGTCTGTTCTTGGGAGTGGGCCGTATAAGCAAGCCTGAAAATGCAACTTAGCTGTGAATTCTTGATGTCCAAAATTCATGTTTCTTTGTATGCTCAGAAACAAGCAATCCTATTTGTGCAAAAGTTCAGTACTTTGTCCATTCAGTGCCTAAAATAGAGCCTTGTACACAGCAGGCACACATGCCTCATACACAGTAAGCACTCAATAAATGACAGCAATAAAAACAATATTGTTGTTGTTGCTGAGTTTTTATTTTTTATTCCCTTACCCAGCGTTTTCATGCTCATGTGAACCTCTATTTCTTAGGTAGAAAGTTATTTTTGGGAACTTTTGATAAGTAAGGCTTATCATGTGGGTTATTCATGTTTTTGACATGATAAAAAGTGTCAACTGGCCAGGTGCGGTGGCTCATGCCTATAATCACTTGAGTGTTCAAGACCAGCCTGGGCAACATAACGAGACCCTGTCTCTATAAAAAATAAAAAAATTAGCCGGGTGTGGTGGACTGGGCTACTCGGAAGGCTGAGGCAGTCCCAGCTACTCAGGAGGCTGAGGTGGAAGGAGCCCAGGAGGTCAAAGCTGCAATGCCCATGATGGTGCCACTGCACTCCAGCCTAGATGACAGAGTGAGACCCCGACTCAGAAATAAAGACATACATACATACATTTATTATGTATATCTTCCCTCTCTCTGAAAGTATGAACCCTACCTACACAGAACATGTAGGGTCCAACTTGTTGGTTGCAGAATTTCCCATATCTAGCTTAGTGTCGGGCCAGAGAGGAGACATATGAGGGAGGACCCCTAAAATCCTAGAATTATCTTTAGGAGAGTAGACCCCTTGTAGTACAGGATTCCCTTGCTAGGTAAGTGTTAGAAACTCATTGGCATCAGTGTATCAGCTAGTGTTGTTGTGAGAGGCTGTAGTCAGCTTCAGTGAATTTTTCTGGAGATTCTTTCAGCGCATTTGCCCATTTCATGATGGGTGATTTACATGAACAACTGAACAACGTATAAACATGCTAAGTGTTCAGCAGTGTTGACCAAAAAAAAGAAAAAGGGCAAGGCCCCCATGGCCCCTATGCCCCGCCCTCCCTATTCACCTTATCTCGCCTTGGACAACTTTTCTGTTTGTTTCCCCAGAGGAAAAACGTCCTCAAAGGAAAATATTTTTGCTGAAGTGGAAGAGGTGAAACAAAAAACAACAGAAACACTAAAAGGCATCCAGATTGATGAGTTCAAAACTGCTTTGAGCAGTGGAAAAAGCATCTGATTAGGTGTATTGCATCAAACAGAGAGTGCTTTGAAGGTGACTGAAGTTTAGACATGTAAGAATAAATACACAATTTTCATTAAAAATTCTGTATTTTGGGATCCCCCTTCATGGATGTATACACCTGTGAGTTTTTGGAAAGGTAGTCATGGTCCACTCCAAGATGCATGCTCTGGCTATAGAAAACACCTATGGAAAATGAATCTATTCACTGGTTCTTCCTTTCATTCTGTCTGCATTTATTGAACTCCTGCTGAGTACATATTAAACATCAGTCCCAATTTATAATTCTGCTTGACTTTCATCAGTGGTTCCCTGTGGACTAAATACAGCCACATTTTTAACTCTGCTACCGGAACGCATGGCTCTTAAGACCCTTGTGTTGATTAGGGACATTTAGGAAAGCATTTCAGTAACACTTTTTTCAGAATCAATGACCCTTCTATGGCTAAAAGTACTCATTAGATTTGGTTTGAAGGTTACCTATTTTATGGTAGAGCTCTGGCAGCTGGACCTCCACCTTCTCTCTCTGGAAAAGATGGTACTCAGCTTGCTCGCAGACCGGTGGAATCATATTGAACTGTCTTGCTACAGAATAGGCTTCCTAGGGAGCAACGAGACCATAAGGGAATTGATACCGAGGAGAAATAAGGCTTCACTGTGATTTGCATGCCTGCAAAATGTTCACTTTAGTGACATCAAGACAAACCAAGAAACATGCAGGATGCCAGATAAGCAAAATGTGACCATCACTGTCACTAGTCGATACACTTGATGTGGGAAATCCTTCTTATTCTTTGAGAGGGTTTGGACTGAGTAAAGTCCAGGGCAAATTAGTCAAAGTATGAATTATGGACAATGATAAAGAAATGTGGCCAGGCGCAGTGGCTCACATCTAGAATCCTAGTACTTTGGGAAGCCAAGACGGGAGGACTGCTTGAGCCCAGGAGTTTGAGACCAGCCTGGGCAACTTGGCGAGACCTCGTCTCTACAATAAATCAAAAAATGAGTCAGGTGTGGTGGCACATGCCTGTAGTTTCAGCTATTTGGAAGACTGAGGTAGAAGGATTGCCTAAGCTCAGCAGACTGAGGGTACAGTGCCCGTAAGTGTGCCACTGCCCTCTAGCCTGGGCGGCAGAGTAAGACTCTGACTCAAAAAAAAAAAAAAAAGAAAAAAGAAAATGCAATTTAACTATTAGGTTCCCAGAGAAATAAGACTTAGAATAATATGCAAAAGTAATCTGTAATTAGTGTGTTATAAACAGTATGGTTATTAGTTCATACTGTCTTTATAAGACAGTGTATCTCATTAGCTGTAAAATTCACTTTACCCTATTGCCACCCCAAAACCTACTAAAACAGGATTCCTGTTAGGGACCTAAGCCTTTCTTGTTGTATTTTGAACCGATAAGCTCCAGCTCCAATATCTGTTTGTATAAGGTTGAAATTGATCATAGAATTTCAGTGCCATATTGATTGTGAGAAAAGTTTGTAAAAATATTTTGTACCTTATGCATGTATCTAGAAAACAATAATAAGGTTCTCAGCAGCCATTTAAGAATAGAAATTAAGTTACCATGATCTCCATAGCACTCCACCTTGAAGTACCCCAGTACATTGCCATGCCTTGGTTTATCACGTGTGTCATGGCTCGAACGATTTCTACAGAAGGCCAAACAGATAGCAGTTCGTTAGTTTATCTACTTTTCAAAATTATGTTTCTTCCCCCCCTGTTCCTCAAGGTTTAGACGTTTAATGTAATTATTTGTTTGACTAATAGACTTACCTTGACATTGGTGACAGCATAATAGTCTAACATGAAATACTTATGACTTGGAGGCTGATGGTTGAGTAAACTGACATTCCATTTTCTGTTTGCAGTAACAATACTCAATACTCAATGATATGTAAAACACAATTACCACCTTTATATTTATCACTTGATAGTATTTATCTTGTACTGATAAAGAATACATGATTGATCTCTTTAAGAACCTGGGTATTGGCTGGGTGTGGTGGTTCACACCTGTAGCCCCAGCACTTTGAGAAGCTGAGGCAGGAGGATCATTTGAGGCCAGGAGTTTGATACCAGCCTGGGCACCATAGTGAGGCCCCCCATCTCTGTTGGAAAAAAAAGAAGTGCTCAAACCTGGGTACCTTGCTCATTAATATGAGAAGAAAAAGCATTTGTTCTAACATTGTAGACTGTAAGGTCAAGGAGGGCGGAAGGTTTGTCGTTGCACATTGGATTTGCAGAGCCAGGCCTCACACAGAGTGACGGTCTAATACAGATGACTCATTAACAATGTGTTTAGCAGAAAGATAAACATATTAAACGCTGCACAAGCAGCTGAAGCCACAGTGGCTCATGGCCTGCAAAGACCCACCCTGTCCTTGATTGCTTTCAACCTAATTTTGTCCTAAGACACCCATGTCATTGATTCACCGGGGCCTGCTCATGGTCCTGCCCAGTGTGCTCATCAGTCTCTTGCAACTTGGCATCATGTTTCCTAAACAGGAAAACAAATCCCTTCCCCAGAAGGGTGAGGCAGAGCTGAGCCCCTTGGCAGCAGACAGATGTGACACAGAATTAGCGAACATGGAGAGCCTCAGCCTAATTTAGTGAAAATTCCCAGACAGGGCTGGATTTCTTCTTTGAAGCAGGTCAGTGAAACACCCAGGATACCAGGCCATTTTACATTTTCAGGGGGTCACAGGCCTCTGGCTTTTCTGTGTCCGTAATACCAATCAGTTAATATCCTTCAGAAGAACAAAATCCTTGTCTCAAAGTGGAGCTGGTGTAGATGTATTCTTTTTTTTTTTTTTAATTTCTCATGAGCAGGCACTGTCTTAATTGGCAGGGAGGCCGGATGCAGTGGTTCATGCCTGTAATCCCAGCACTTTGGGAGGCTGAGGCAGGAGGATCGCTTGAACCCACGAGTTTTGAGACCAGCCTGGGCAACACAGCAAGACCTTGCCTTTATGAAAAATTTTTTAAAAATTAGCTGGGTGTGGTTGTGCACACCTTTAGATAGTCTCAGTACTTGGGAGGCTGATGTGGAAGGATTCCCTGAGCCCAGGAGGTTGAGGCTGTGGTGAGCTGTGATCGTGCCATTGCACTCCAGTCTAGGTGACAGAGTGAAATTCTGACTCAAAAATAAATAAAAAATAAATTAGTAGGGGACAGTATTAGGAACAAGACGGCAGAGTCAGGGTCTTAGCATTTTTGCTGGTTTGGCAGATGTCAACTATTTCGAATTGCCCTTGATTTCTTCGTTTGGAAGACGAGGATGCTTTCATTCACTGTTTTCTGTCCAACGGGGATAGGATTTAGTTTATAAGCAAAAGATTTTTCTTTCTTGGAGAAAGCCTCCCCAAATCAAATTATTACGCAGCAACGAAAACTATGACGTTCACGCTTCCTTTATAAAACAAATGTGGTTTGAAAAAGTTACAAGGAACTGCTTTTCTTCTCTCTTATTATACAAATGGAAATCAGTGCTTATGATAAATGTTTCCAGAAGTTGCAAACAATTATTTGACTCTCTGCCCCAGACATATTCTGTCTTTGGATGTCCCGTTCCCCGCTTCCTCCGCAATTTTGCTCCTGCTCCCAGCAGAGCTGGGAGTCCATCCAATTAACAGTATTTATTAGGTGTCTGCTCTTCCCGGTGCTGGAGATACCGTGGAAAATCTCTCACATTAGCAAACACCAAAGGGGTTAACAGAGAAGAAACTGGTCCCTGGACTCTATCTCTGTGATAGAGTAGCATGGTCTGGTACTGGGCCACACGGGGTCCCTGAAGTCTGGGCCAAGCGCAGTGGAAGTGAGTGGAGGTTGCCATGCTCCCTGCACATTCATTCACGTATTTGACTCACACAGTTGTCAGGCATGGCGCCAGTGACTTGACTCATCTGTGAGTAAAGCAGACACAAAGTTCCTGGACACAGGGAGTTTAAAGTTGAGAGGAGAAGATGGAGAAGTCAACACGTGATTAAAGAATGTGAAGTGTTAGGAAGAAAACACGAAGGGGGCTGAAATAGGGAACAAAAGGGAAGACTTATTTAGCAAGAGCGAGGAAGGTTTCATTGAGAAGTAATGTTTAGGTATAAAGAATAAAAAGGAGCCAACCATGTGAAGAACAGTGGAAGAGCATTCCAGAAAGACAGAACAGCATATACAAAGACCCTGAGGCAGGACAGCAATTGGAAGTGAGTTCTGGCACTTGGAAGCCATGATGGCAGAAACTTAGTAAGGTAAGAAGACAAAGGTACAAAATGAAGTTGGCAGAGGGCAAGCCATGTTATTTGTATGTTATTCAAGAGTTAATGGGGCCATTAACATTGTGTTAGATGAGGGAATGATAGAATATAGTTTACATTTCAGAACACTCTAAGTTGTAGAGAATCAGCAGTGAATGGATGACTGGAGGTACTGAAACAATGTGGCAGTTTCTAAAAGATCTAAAAATTGACCTTCCATATGATTCAGCAATCCCTCTTATGGTCATATACCTGGAGGAACTCAAATCATTCTACAAAAAAATGCATGTGCACACATGTTTATTCCAGCATTATTCACGATAGCAAAAACATGGAACCAACTGTGCTGCTATCCAAAGTGGACTGGATGTTTAAAAAGTGGTACATATACGCAATGGAATATTATACAGCCATAGAGAAGGACAAAATTATGGACTTCACAGCAACTTGGATGGATTTAGAGTCTATCATACTTAGCGTTCTATCACAAAAACAAAGAACTGAGCACCACATGTTCTCACTCATAAGTGGACCCTGAACATTTATCACAATAAGAAAGGGATCAGCAGTAGTGGGACATTTCCAGGGGAGGGAGTGGAGTGTGTGTGTGTGGTGGGGGGTGGTACATAATATCAATATGGGTACGTGATCCTAAACCAGGCAAGATGAGGACCAATGGGAGGTCCAAACTTCAACTGTACATAGAACACTTATGTACCAAATCTTGACTTGTACCCCACATCTTTAAAATAAAATAAAATAAAATTTTAAAAATGTATTTTAGGCCAGGAGCAGTGGCTCACACCTGTAATCCGAGCACCTTGGAGGTTGAGGCAGAAGGATCACTTGAGCCCAGGAGTTTGAGACTAACCTGGGCAACATAGTGAGACCTCGTCTCTACAAAAAAAAAAAAGAATCAGTTCGGTGTGGTGGTGCATGCCTGTAGTCACAGCTACTCGGGAAGGAGGATTGCCTGAGCCCGGGATGTCAAGGTTGCAGTGAGCCATGGTCATGTCATTGCACTCCAGCCTGGGCGACAGAGTGCGATCTTGACGCGAATGAATGAGTAAATAAATAAATAAATAAAAATTTTAAATGTCAGATAAAAATTCCCCAAGTTGTTTAGTTCTCCAAGAAATAAAACCACACTGATGGCTGAAGTGATTCTAATATGTAAGAACACTAGAGGGCAGCATTGTTGAAAGGAAAAACTCAGCTGAGCCTAGATGCTGTTTCAGGCGTGTGTCATGGAAATGCAGTTTAAAAGCCTCCGAGTCAGAGCATCCGTTCTGAGTGGGAAGAGGATGTAAGGAAGATCATTTAGTGTATTGCTTAATGCACCTGGGAAAGGATACTCAGACAAATGTGATTAATTCTGAATGTGACTTCGTGGCCAAGACCCCACCCTCACTTTTCCAGAAGACTTAACCTCCTTGACTCTGACTGCATAGTAGGAACACCTGGGGTAGGGATGGACTTTAAAAAGCACTCGTGTCTGGGCTCCACTGAGGTTCTGTCGTATCAGGATCTCGAGGGCTGAGGCCCTAGCATCGATGATATTTTAGAAAACTCACCCCAGATGATGATTCTAGCACCGCCAGGCTTTAGAACCAACATGCTTGTCTGTACCGCTGGTCTCAGAGTGTCACCCCCAGGACCAGTAGGTTCCACAGCACCTGGAACCTGTTAGAGATACAGATCCCGGGGCTCCACCTCAGACCTGGCAAATTACAAATCCTGGGGGTGGGGTCCCCAGTGGTTTGTGTTTTAAGCAGCCCTCCAAGCAAGGCTGACACACCACTTTATACCATTCCCAAGCAAGCCATCTCAGTGGGTATGAATGTCCTCCTACATTTCTTCTTCTGCTCTTTCATCCAATCCAAATGATCCATGCTGTAATTTAATCTTTAGTATTTTTGCCTTAGTACATATGCAAACAGACAATGGCTATGATACACACACATGTGCGTGCACACATGCGCACACACTGTGGTATGAATCAGAATCACCTGGGGAATTTGATGAAAATACCTCAGTCCAGGTCCCAGTCTCCTTCAATGAACCAGGGCCTTTGTATTATTTTTATTAGCGATTGAATCACAAAGTTTGAGAAAAACAGTCTAAACTGTTGAAAGACTTTGCCAAATCCTCCCTCTGTAATCTTTTCCAGGGCGAAACAGTCATTATTCTTGAACCTGGTGATGCCTCCCCAGGCAGCTCTGTCGTGTGTTCCCCAAGCACACAGATGGCCTCTACAGATGCTGCTAGTCAATTTCATTTCTATGAGTATTCCATTTCCATCTGCAAAGTGAGGATGATATTGATCTTGTAGAATTCTTTCAAAGCCTGACATGGGATGATGTGTGTAGACTAATTTGTGAATCTGAAAGAGTAACACA